GTGAAGAATAAGAAAGAGAAAACCTGCTTGCTTATTGATATGTCTATTCCAACTGAGAGAAACACCTCCGTAAAAACATCAGAAAAATTATCCAAATACAAAGATCTTGAAATAGAAATTCAAAGAATGTGGGGTATGAAGACCACAACAATACCTGTGGTAATAGGTGCTCTCGGTCTAATCAAGAAAGGGATGGAAAAATATGTCAAGAAGATCCCAGGTAACATCAGGGTACAGGAAATACAGAAGGTTGCTCTCCTTGGCCCTGCTCATATACTAAGGAGGGCACTGTCAATCAAATAAACCATACACMCCCTCATAGATGCCCCAAGTCCAGGGCCTTGGACTCGGCATCATGAGTGCATAGAGCAGAAAAATTAAGAGATAATAATAATAATACTAATGATAATGATATTGATGATAATGATAATGATAATGATAATAAATGATAATGACAATAATAATAATAATAATAATAATAATAATAATAATAATAATAATAATAATAATAATAATAATAATAATAATGATAATATACATTGAGTTAGATGTTGAGTTGAGTCTGAGTTGAGTTTGAGTTGAGTTTGAGTTAACGTTGAGTTAGCCAAAAAATGTAATACAAGCTAAAAAGTCTGTTCTAATAGATGGCACCTAAATTAATGAAACAATRTAATAGCAGAAAAAATACAAAGAAATTCAGTCGTCTCTAGGAAAATATGCCACTTCACTGAAGAASATCGCAGTTGTGATCGACAATTAAATTTGTTTTTCAAGCTAGAGACGACTYAATTTCTTTCTGAAATATTCTAGCTGAAACTTTAAAATATTTCGTGAGGAGAAACAATATTTTACATTCAAAAGACATGAAGCACGCCCCCCGAATAGTTCGTTATTCAACGTATTATTGGATTTTTCATTTTATTTTTCGTTTTCAAACTTCATTTGATTAATGCAAAATTAAATTCAAATCTCGTACTCTGATAATGACAGAAAACACAGCATTTGTAGCTTATTGAGACCGTCATTCCTTTGTCACGAGAAGGAACAGATCTAACCAAATTAACAGACATCACATTGCAATGCATCGACTTGTGGGAAATTACAAAAGAAAAGCATGTTTACAAGCGAAATACGAAGAAGGCTTTATGAAAATYCGATCAATAATCCAATCAAATTTCGAAGTTTGAATTCAAATTTGATTTCAATAATGTAATGTTGAATCGACCAAGAATTGAATAATGGTGTTTTGAGGGGGGGCGCTTCATGTCTTTTTAATGTAGTGTTTCCTTCGTCCTTCGTGCATGGTGTTGATTGCACTCGTAACGCGTGTCTTCAGTAACTGACAAAGTTTTATAGATTTCCTTGCTTTTTCGATGTATGGCATTGTAAGATTGGGTATTTCACGTAATACCTTTCTTTATTGCAGTCAAGTATCAATCAATTCAGGTCATTTGCGGAGGAACCATGATATATATAGCAACTCCATTTTTTTCGAACACAATTAATTGGATGGCGTGAGGTCTACGCAGCTGAGAAAATTATTCTCATAGCAATCCTTATGTCGATGTTGCTACAACTACAAATTTTTCCATTGAATAGATTACTCAAATTTTACTTAGTGCGGTAACAGAGTCTTACCGTAACAGAACCATAATTTCAAAATGTTACGGTTGTTCTGTCGCCCTTGAAACACCTTTGACAACCAGATTAGTCTTGGAGGTCGAACGTCAGTAAACAAAGTTGAATTTTAATTGGCTATCAGAAGTACATGTATTAACGGTGATAACGACAGTGGCAGGCGCAAACAAACAAAATATGTTACGTGACATATCAGTGACATAAAAGTCAACCGAATTACTGTATTTTGAAAATATATTTCTCGTAATATTGCGAAGATTACAAAATTGACCAATGTTTATTAGCTTGATTAAATAAAAAAGTTTTTCAGTTACGGCTTCGTGGTTTTACAGATGATTTGAACGAACGAGCTCCGATTTGTGTGCAAATTCCTCTTGGCTTTGTTTTATCTGGGTTGTTGGGGATACGAAATGTTGAGTTCAAAATCTATAGAAATTTGCTGGATGATTACATTTTTGGGCTAACTCAATGTTAACTCAACGTTAACTCAAACTCAACTCAAACTTAATTCAAMCTCTAAGTCGATGATTATCCTCGATGATATCTCGATAATACCTAACCTTTTTTAAAAATTATTGTAAAAGAGGTTTATTAAAAATAWAGATTATTGTCATTCTAATATGATAATAATACAATAAAATACAACTATGGAACAAGAGCTTTTTTAATTAACTCCTTGTATTAAATTATTGATCTCGACCTTACTGAAATTTACCTATAATATGATGGTAAGACAAGATGGATACCAGAGCTAGCTTGACTGATCTTTGGTATATCAGGCTTATCCATTGTTCTTACACTGTCGGTGAATGGTCCTGTTGCATTAACTACACACTTGGCATGTATGTCATATTCCTCATTGCTAAGAGTATCTCTAACATGCACACCACATACCACCTCCTTAGCGCCATGAGCATCTGTAAGAAATATACACTCTTATTTATCACAATCACAATGAAATAAATATTTATTTTTAATTGTTAAATGGGTTTGATGAAAATATGCCTAAGATTTAAACAACTCTAGGGTATTGCTTTGTTATAAAGTCAGATTGCCTGACATTATAACAATTATGATATGTGAGAAATTACGCTAATAATCAATTAATCAGTAGAAGAGAGAATGCAGGTTGATAAGTTCATAATACTCAAGCACTTTTTAAAAGGAACAAACAAATAATCATTTTTTTTAAGAGTCCAGTATCCTTTGATTGACAAATTCTGAAATTGCGGTTGAAAATGTATGGTGGTTATATATATTTTGTACACGACAGAATCTTTACTGAGCATTTTTGCAACTTTGAAGAGCATATTTCTAATCTATGGATTGTTCAAGTGCAATTATGATATCTACAACCAAATAACTTTTACCTGTTACAATACTTTTCTTCAGAAGAGACAACACCTCTGTATGATTGACAGCTGTTGCTCCATGTCGAACAGCAGTTAAGGCTATTTCTAGATTCATGCGGGCATCATTATGCTGGCCTAAAACACATTTTAAAGGTAATGCATTTACAGCAAATATCGCTGAAGTGTAAAGAATTAGCATTAGAGTGAACCTCAATTAATGAAATCCATAATTTATGATATATTTTATTTCATAATAATAAAGATGTAAGCTTATTTAAGCGTATTTGTTTCTTGTTCTTTTAACTTTAATTTAGCTGCTTTGTTTATCAAGTTATCTGTTTATACATGCACCCAAAATCTACAAGAAACAATAAATATATGCAGAATATTTCTATACTAGCGGTTCCTATCGAAAGTAAAGTGCTGCGATATGTAAATTCTGTGATGCTTGTCCAAATTGGTTTTAGGTTTATTTGATTTTATGGAGGGAGAATACATGGCAAAAAGAAACAAGATTAGAACGTATATGTAGACTTAATTACAGACTATTCTTATTATTGCTGCCGCAGCGTAGCGAGCCTGAGCGAGCGAAGCGTAGGCAGCAAYTCTAATCTGGAGAAGGGCAAAATTTCTCGATTTTAACCCAGGATGCAGTACGTTTTCATTAACCGTCTTCCTTTGCGCCACTATAAAAGGGTGAACAGTCCCGGATGTTCTTTCTCCCTTGTGTTTACATTAGCTTGTGTTCTTGAGGTGAGTCGGAGTTTTGTTGTGTTATTTTGATTTTTCTTGCTGTTTTTATTATTCAGAGCACTAATTCAAACAAGTATTAACCTCGATCTCATATTTTCTGTTTCAGTTTTATCATTATTCCGTTATTTCTCGATCGTCTCTTGACAAAGATTGTGGTCTAAAGAGTTCTCGACAGTGAGTGCATCAAGGGCGCTAGATCACTGAAATTATGACCTATAAGGTCGAGATGTCGCTTAATTTATCCAACCTATGATAGTCGATAGTAAATAAAGTTTTATTATTATCTGAAATGCATCCTGAATCTGTCGTCTTAGCCGCTAAAAGGCCTTTGATTTTACGAAACTCATTCAAATGATTGGGTTGCTGATGTTTGCGGTCTGGCCAGGAATAGCCTGCGTTACATCCGGTTTTATTTGCCACATAAAACCAGATGTAACGATCATTAAAATCACTTTGCTCTGGCTTTTATTTGAATCAAATGTAGTTCTTGAACCAAATATGATTGCCGTCTGTGCCAAGAGTAGTTTTTATTGATTTTTATGGTATAAAAAATTTGAATCTGACACTTAATTTTTTGTAATACATGATTTTGAATTGTACTGAAAACGTCTGTTTATAAAAGACGTTGCAATAAGGGTTCACAACAGAATAGCATTCGGGACAAGATTTTCCATGTGAGAGTAATACAAATGCAGCAAAACCGCCTATACTAGAGTAAAGTCATGCAACACATCAAACGCCGATCACACGGTGGCAATTTCGGGCAGCACTTTCATACCTTTTAGGTAAACTAGTTATTATTATTATTTTCGGGCGATTGATTTGAATTGTTTGCCTCGTCGGGCGATTGATTTCGTTGGTTTGCCTAAATGTGCGATGGAAATGATGTCATCGGAGACCAAAGGACTCGATCTAGCAAATAATTAAGAGAAATAGTTTTTCTTTTCGAATGCTCCTTCGGCCAAAACATCGTGTCTGTCGTCAACGTCGAAATATCATCACAATGTGCAGATAACAAAGCTGAAAGACTCATAAAATAACATTGTATGTCGCTAAAACGACATATCACCTTGATGAATACTTCCTCGAATAAATAAAGTCGGCATTTAACATGCTAAATACTTGTAAAACTTGCCTTTGCAAGAGATCGAAAAGCAATTGCCCGTTCCGAAATTCAAAAAGGGACTGGTGACTAGAAACAAACTCGATACTGTTTGAAGCAATCAAAAAACAGGACAAGAAAGAGCATTATACTAAAATTAGTAAATCTGCAGAGTTTGAGAGTATTTGGATTAATAATTACAGAGTTTCAAGCATTTAAAACACGGAAAAATTACAAAGATTGTATGGKTTTTTTTTAGCAGCGTCCCCAAAAACCATACATTCTCTCTTATTTTCACAAATTTGAAAAAATTCCTACTCGGTGAGTATTAGAACAAATATGCTCAAACTTGTCAAGAACACTTATTTTAGTGCGGTCTTTCATGTGGTGAGATTCAGTTTTCGATGAATGTAATATTTTCACACTCGTTCCCAGTCTCCTTTTGAATTTAGGAATGGCCAATATAAAGACCATGCAGTTTACGGCGCATCACTTGATAATAACCGCTGATTATGTAATGTTTACTGTAGGCGCTCAAAGTGTCTATCGCTAGCCCACGAAATCGACTTTCGCCTTCAGTATGTATGGCACAGGGACCCCGAAAAGCCTGCGGGATTAGTGTCGCTGCTCACTTCGTTCGCAATTATTTATTATATKTTTAGCCTGAKWMTCAGGCTATTATATTTTATGTACTGTTTGATAAATGAGCAGGAGTGTTAGAATCTTTATACCCGATAAAACACAACTTGCGAGTTTATTGAACGGCTCCCAAAACTCCAACACTAATTTGAAACTCAAATCCTGTTAGGATTCTTGGAGAAATGTTCGTAAAATAAGTTTGGAGATAAATGGGGMAAACTGATCATGAACGAAACAATAGCCGACTTTAGATATTTTGGTTCAGTGACCATGCACAAAAGAATTCCAGACGAGGCTCCAGGGAAATAAAAGAATAAATCAAGATTATCCATTGTTTTCACGGAGCCTCGTGTGCGTTCTTTTGTACATAGTCGTCGAACTAAAATATCTCAAGTTGACTATAGACCTCTGCAGCTTTTACGTCATGTACCGTATACGCAATGCATTGTAGGAAATGTTTGGGACAAAACATAGCGGATTTCTTTTGTTATCTCTTGAAACTGATCCCACAATGCATTGAAAATCAAGTAGTCAGTAGTAGTGTAAGGACCGAATTATACCTTGTGGGTATAGTGGGTATATAGTGGGTATAGTGGGTATAGTGGGTATATAGTGGGTATAGTGGGTATAGTGGGTATAGTGGGTATATAGTGGGTATATAGTGGGTATAGTGGGTATATAGTGTGTATAGTCGGTATAGTGGGTATATAGTGGGACTGTGGGAGTCACGTGACTAGGCAATATAGATTATYTAAAGCAACCTAGATTACTTTATTAAATCAAACATGATGATTTCGTTACAAGTAGATTAGGTTGAGATGGCAGATATGATAATGAGTGTCTTGGAACTTTCCTATGCCTGTTTATGTATGCGCTCTGACTGAATTGCAAAGTTAGATATAACTGTTGAAGATTTATACTACAATGAATAGAATTCAGATTGACGAAGTTGAAATGGGTGAACGTGCTTTCCTGCTGGAGCTGATATCAACGGTTTTACAACTCTCTTATGCTTCTTTTTGCGAGTATCCAATTTGGGAACTGATAAATTCTGAGTGTGAAGGCTGCAAACTTCAACTACCAGGTCAAAGAGATCATGTTTGTATGATGACTGGAAATGAAGAAGCATTTAAMCTCTATTACGACGATGCCATGCAGTTAGTGGACTCCAATCGAGTGTGGGAATTAGCAARTGAAGTATGTGAGCAGTTCCTCGATTTKAAAATTCACCGTTCGTGGCAAGTTTATACTCCTGAATTT